CCCTCATATTATCATCATCATCTGTACTCTTTAACAGACTCTTTGCGTACATTATCTTACTCAATTCTGAAAATAATTCTACAAGAATCTCTAATAGAGTATGTAATTTACCATCACAGGACTAGATGAACTATATGTGTCCTAGTCTAAAGTTCATCTCTACTAAACCAAAGTTTTCCAAAAATCTCCTCTGAAAACTAGATGTGAACAGGTATTTAACAATAAAAATAACAAAAGAACCATTATTGGTATAATATTAGGAATCATGGGAACCAATTTTTATTAATAGTATGTTTGCCAACAGGGGAAATGGAGCAGTTTTGGCAGGAAAGAAACATAGCATACTAGTTATTGAGAGAGAATGGGTTCTTAATAATATTTATAAAAATCTTTGTGTTTCACCCTGTCTCACTTGGGAGCACAGCAATCCTCTGAAAGAACCAATCCTTTAAGCTGTGTGATAGATGCTATTTTCCTATCCAACTACTTCACTTATGATTTCCTCACCACCCTTTGCAATCTGTTTGTTGCTGTTATTACCCAGTTTTGACATTTAATCTCTTTTAGTTGTGCTCTAGTTTTTCTGAAACGCCTCATTGGGTTTCTGATATAAAATTTCTTACGTTTGGCTTATCTTGCTATTATTTTAGTATCTAGGTACCATTCTTCAGCATTCTATTATGAATTGAATTAAAGTATATAGCATTGCTTTAGAAGTGATTGTCTCTTGAGAATCATTGCCAATTATATTGTTCTAAATATTGCATTTAGGTGACAAAGAGGAAATTCATCTGGAAGGTGAAGTTAATATTATTGGAAGTCTTTCCATATTTGGTTAAAGACTCTTGATGTGAAGCTTAATATGATATTTAGTCTCCATTTAATTTCAGCTATAAGTCTTTCCTTCCTTCCTTCCTTCCTTCCTTCCTTCCTTCCTTCCTTCCTTCCTTCCTTCCTTCCTTCCTTCCTTTCCTCCCTCCCTCCCTCCCTCTTCCCTCCCTCCCTTCCTCCCTCCCTCCTCTCTACTTCCTCCCTCCTCCTTCTTTCCTTCCTTCCTTCCTTCTTTCCTTCCTTCCTCCCTCCCTCCCTCCCTCCCTCCCTCCCTCCCTCCCTCCCTCCCTTTTCTCCCTTCCTCCTTCCTTCCCTCCCTCCCCCCTCCCTCCCCCTCCCTCCCTTCCTTTTTTTCTCCTTCCTTCCTTCCTTCCTTCCTTCCTTCCTTCCTTCCTTCCTAACTTCCTTCCTTCCTTCCTTCCTTCCTTCCTTCCTTCCTTCCTTCCTTCCTATATATTCTTATTGGTTTCAGAGAGGAAGGGAGAGGGAGAGATAGAAACAATGATGAGAGGGAATCATTGATTGGCTGCCTCCTGCATGCCCCCTACTGGGAAACGATCTTGCAACTCAGGCATGTGCCCTTGCCTGGAATTGAACCCTTGACCCTTTAGTCTATAGGCTGACGCTCTGTCCACTGAGGCAAACCAGCCAGGCCTCTTCCTGGTTTCTTTATGAGGCCTCATCTCTCGTTATCTGACTCCTTTACTCAAAACCCTCATTTGTGCCCTTCTTCATACAGAATGCTGCCTAATTTCTTACAGGTTTAATGACCTGGCCTAGATCTACTTTTCACATTCGTCTGTTCCCTCTCACACCGTGCTCTGTCATTAAACTCCTAATAGTCCTTTATTTTTCCTTTCATTGTTTTTGGTTAACATACTATTTTATTCCTCAACTGTGTGCGTAAAGCCCCCTGGGTGCTTTAGCAAATCCACATTGAGTCTGCAGGTCATTTTAAATTTTCTAGAGAAACAGGTGACATCTACTAGGTTAAACATTTCAACCACTAACTCCAGATATTTCTGTTTTAACATTGCACTGCCACTTTTCTTTCGGTGATATCAGATACTTTGGAAAACTGGAGTTTGGGTAGTTTCTGTGATTAAAAACAACAACAAAGCAAATGCTATACAAAAAAGCATTGTGACACAGCAAATGAGAGTGGTGCTGACCAGTTTGATTCCAAGCTTTGAGAATTTTACAGTGCGCAATAGGCTCTCAATTATTAGGAAATAAATACTAGGTTGTTTGGAACTAATAGAATTGATTTTACCTTAGGAGCACCATGATAAAATTCCCGACAGGAAAGGAGGCCTGTGCTCTGTGCTGTGCCTCTACTTCCAGTTCACAGCCATTTTTGAAACTTACACCCATTCTTCAGAGACAGTTGATAACGTCACCCATCTCTGGATGCCTTTTCTGATCTTCCTTCGCTTATATTTAATTTCCCTCCTGGGTGTTTCCTGGTGGTATTCTGCCTTTACTATTGCTTTTAAAGTTGAATTCAACTATGTTCATGTATTTATTTAAAGTCATCAATTATAGCTGTCGTTTTCTTATTCATTAGTTAGGGGTAGTTACTTACAGTATAATGAGAGCCCTTTCGTTCTCTGGATAAAAGTGAGCCAACTATAATAATAGTTATCATTTAATGATCTAAAGTACATTTCTTGTTAGTCTATTTCTAATCCTTAACACATGCTCCTAAGATCATAGGTTGTATGATCAACATTATATTTGAAGAGATTGTGATTCATCAATATTGCTTTCCAGAATACCGACACACTTCCTAACCTTTAGCTATTCTAGTTCCTTTTCTTTTTCTTTTTCTTTTTTTCTGTTGATTATTGAATCAGCTTTTTGGTATCTTCAGAAATCCTATTGAGATTTTGATTAGTGTTGCAGTGAATCTGTGAATAAATTTGGGGAGAATTGCTATCTTAAGAATATTTAGTTTTCTAATTCACGCACATAGAATCGTTCTATATAGTTATTGGTAGTGGGGTTTTTTTTAGCATTATTTTTGGGCTTTTTTTTTTTGTAGTGTTTTATGTATAGGTCTTAGACATTTTTTTAAATTGGTCCCACTATGTTTCATTTTTGATGCTTCTGTAAATGGCATTGTTTTCCTAATTTTAATTTTCAGCTATTCTTTGAGAGTACATAGAATTACATTAGATCTGTGTACAGTGATCTTGAATCCTGAGACTTCAATAAAGTCACTTTTTAATCCTAGAGATTTTATGTATATTCTTATGATTTCCTTAAACATGCACAGATTGGTGTCCTGCCAAAGCCTCCAAAGCTGCTTTATATGAATTTCAGCTCATTTCTCTCTGGGACTCTCTTTCAGGTTCTACTCTTTGGGCTCTCCTCAAACACTTTATTTCTGTTCCCTCATTTCAGTGAGAATGCCAGGCTCCGTTTGGCTTCTTCCTCCCTGCACCAAGTCTGGAAACTGCCTCCTGGCAGAGAGCCTGCATGATGTCAGGGCTCACCTTATTTTCTGTCAGAATCATAGTCCTACCCTGTCCAGGGTCTGAAAATTCTATAGTTGTTTCCTTTTAGTTTTGTTTTTTAAGTATACACAACACAAGAGTAATTCTGGACCTTCTTACTCCCTCGGGGATAGGATAGAACTTAAAGATGGGTATTTAAGGATGTACTATGCATACCTAAACAAAGAGAGGCTGGGCAATTTATTTGGCTAAAAGAAGGAACATAATGAGAAGCTTTGAACAAGATTGCATCTCTTTCCTGGAGAATTTGGAAATGTAGTTGTGTCTTTGTATGATAGTCTCTGTCATTTTCCTCTAGTAGACATGCATTCAGTGTTATTGATTGGATATCAGAATGGTCAAAAACAGATTACTTGGGTATTGGCAACACATTGTTTTGGAGGTAATGTTAGAGATGTACTAAAATTTTAACAGAACTATTAGCAGATCTACCTATATAAAAGCCTAAGCGACTATCACTACCAAGCAGATGACCAAATAAGCTGCGTGGGGTGACCAGGCCAGCAGGGGTTCAGTTGGGGCAACCAGGCCAGCAAGGGGGGCAGTGAGGGATGATCAGGCCAGCAGGCAGAGGTGGTTAGGGGTGGCCAGACTGGTAGGGGGGAAGTTAGGGGTGATCAGGCAGGCTGGCAGGGGAGCGGTTAGGAACCAGTGGTCTTGGATTGGAGGGGGATATCCCACTTCCTATTTAGTCCAGGGATCGGGCCTAAACAGGCAGTCGGATATCCCCCAAGGGGTCCCAAATTGGAGAGTTTACATGCTGGGCTGAGGGGGGACCCCCCCCCATGCACGAATTTTGTGCACCGAGCCTCTAGTTAATTTATAAACTTTCAAAAAAAGGTTTTTTAATCTTTCAACTTTCTTGATAACATCCTTACTTTCTCAGCTAGGTTATTAAGTGATTTGAAGCCATGAGCATGGCTTCTTATTTTGTGTGTCTGCTTTGGCTTACTAAACTCTTATTTTAAATTGACAAACTTTTGAATAGAAATCACTGATCAAGAATAAAGTTTTCACATTTTGTCAGTGTCCTAAATATGCTGATATCAAAAATAGAGTATTTAGACTTTCTACATGAACAAAAGTAATGTGTAGAACAAGACATATTCTTGGCTGCTATATTTGTACTTTTTGTATGTCTGGTTTAAAGTATTTAATTCTCAACAACCTTATGAGATGTTATTTATATATATATATTTTAAATGTACAGATGAGGAAAATGAGGCATAGGAATGTCTAAGTGACATTCTTACCCATACAGAAGTAAATGACAGAGGCAAGATTTGAATCCAGACTGTCTCAATATAGATGCTGGGCTTCTGATGATATTGCTATACTACTTCTATTGGGAATTGCCATTATTTTTCTGTATCAAGCCAGCATTGCCCTAAGGTCTTTATGATTTTAGATTCTGAGTTCTTAACCACTATGCTCTATTTCTTTCCCCAAAAGTAGTATAATAAGTTTTTTTGTGTGTGATTGTTATATCAAATTTGTTATCATAAATGGTAGTACAGGATGGAAATTCCATTCATAACAGCCACAGTTTCTAATAAAGTATCTCTTTTATGCCACTATCTACAACAGAATACTGAACTATGGTGTACCATTTTCTGACACATTAAAATTATTTATGTTCCTATTTTTCAGTGGATGATTCAGAAGCCACACAAAGCAGCAACATTTTTTGGATGCATCGGGATAGATAAATTTGGGGAGATCCTGAAGAGAAAAGCTGCCGAAGCGCATGTGGATGCTCATTACTATGAGCAGAACGAGCAGCCGACGGGAACTTGTGCTGCGTGCATCACTGGTGGCAACAGGTCAGCGTAATTCCCAGGGAAGCTTGTACTAATTGGCCATTTCAACACTGATAAAATCTGAATTCCAGTCTAATTTTGGAATTTAGATCTCACATTTATAATTGCTCTTAATGTTTAATAAACTCTTCCTTGTATCATTTTTTCTTTCTTTTTTTTTTTTTTTTAATTGCCCTTTTGAACCTGCTGTTGTCTTCTTGTGGTATAGTGGAATGAAATTTTTGAGATTATCTAATCTAATATCTGCTTCTTATAATTAGGATCAGAGAAGGAAAACATTTTATTCAATGTTTTATAGCTAGCGTTTTGCTAAACTGGGATTAGAAAGACACATACTTTTCACCATATCCTGAGTTTGGAATATTGGACTACATACTTACATGTACACATTCGTATGTAATTTTTAACATATACAATACTATGTTATATCCAGTCTCACATGAATTAGGTCATCTAAAGCATTTTTGGCAAATAGCCAAATAGTCATCCATATTAAACAAATTTAGTCATGGATAATGTACCACTCAAGAAATAATCCATTGCATTTCTATACAATTTTACTTATTAAAAATTCTTCTTTAAGTGAACTTTGAATTTATCCTTCAGGGCTCCCATGCATTGGTTGTATTTGTGCCTTTTGCAGCTACATGGAGGTTTTCTTTCAGCACATTCATACATGGCTAACAGTATTGTTACCATATTACTCATCTATACGGGCTTTTTTTCTCCTATTTCTAACTGTTAAATTCTAAGAATCACCAAAGCTGATCTTTTTTTAAATAGTGATTCATTAGATATTTTATGCTCTCTGATAGCTAGAAGTATTTAGCCTGCTCTCTTCCATTTCTTATCTCCCTGCCTTTCCCACCTTTTTTATCTGCCTCTTTTTCTTCCTTTATTTCTTCGCTTCTCTCTCATTCCCTTGTTCCATTCCTCTTTCTTAGTTCCTTTTATTTTTGCTCATTCTTTGACCTCCAGAAAATGTATGTTAAGAATCTGACACTAGCCCTGGCTGGTTTGGCTCAGTGGATAGAGCATCAGCCTGCGGACTGAAGGGTCCCAGGTTCGATTCTGGCCGAGAGCACATGCCTGGGTTGCAGACTTGATCCCCCAGTGGGGGGAGGGGGGGACATGTGGGAGTCAGCCAATCAATGATTCTCTCTCATCATTGATGTTTCTATCAACTCTCTCCCTCTTCCTTTTTCTCTAAAATCAATAAAATATATATTTTTTAAAAAGAATCTGACACTATTTTGGCAGTAATCATTAAATAACTATAATATAACTTTCAAAAATAGAGTGCCAAAATCTTCCAAACCTGCTTGCCTACCTGATCACCTTAACCACCTCTTGCTGCCTGCCTGATCACCTCTACCCACCTCTGGCTGCCAGCCTGATTGTCCTCGCCTGCTGGCCTGTTCACCACCTAAATGCTCTCCCCTGCCAGCCTGATTGCCCCTAACTGCCTCTGGCTTGGCTCCTGCCATCATGGCTTTGTCTGGAAGGAAGTCGGACATCCGAAAGATGTCCAGTCAACCCAGTCTATTTAGCATAGTACCCTCTTATTAGTATTTATTAGTTTAGATAGGTAATGTAAATAATTATTAAGTTTAATTGGTGGGTAATAATAAAAAGCTCGATGAGGCACTTGTAGCAAGAATTTAAATGTAGTATCTTGCTTGGATTTTTCTACTTCGAAACTGGACCAGGGCAGGGAGGTTTCAACTGTAGAAGCTAATTTAAATTTATTCCAGTCCTTAACATTTAATTCTTGGCAAATTAATTTCACACAGTAAACATAGTCTTTATATGTATCTTGTAAAATTAATCCCATACTTGGCTTTTAAAGCATTAGGTTAAAAAAATATATAGAAGTTTTTATTTGAATATTTTTATGCATAATGGCATTATAGCTTTATTTCATAACTGCATTTTGAACTATTAAAATGTAGAAAGTAGATAATCGTAGCATTTAAATATCAAAAAGAAACTTAAATGCCAGTTTCTCAAAATACCAGGTGGTATTTAGAAAAAGGATTAATATCTCTGTTTATCTCACAGGCAAACAGAAGTCTCAAGAGTTCTCAAAACAAAATTTATTTACATTTATTAAAATCAATATACAGCAGTTGTGAAGAATTAAAATATAAAACCAAATTTGCAAAAAATACTGTTAATTAACTGTATAGAAGTATATGACAAGTTTGCAATAAAAAGAATAAACTATATAACTGGGGCAAAAAAACTTACTTGCTTTTTGTTGTTTTAGGTCCCTTGTAGCTAATCTTGCTGCTGCCAATTGTTATAAAAAAGAAAAACATCTTGATATGGAGAAAAATTGGATGTTAGTAGAAAAGGCAAAAGTTTATTACATAGCAGTAAGTACTTATTTAATTCAAATTTCTGGTATATGTTTACACTATAAATTATAGTTGTTAGCTAGCTGATGTTAATTTTTAAATAATTGTCTTTTGCTTATCCTGGAAATTACCCATCTCAAAGCATATGTTCACTATTAAACATGCAGAATAGTAATATGATCATTCTAGGTAACATAATTTGTATTATTTACCTTCAAATCTACCTCTTTTGGGATACATTATGCATAGATGTTTCTTAACCAAGTATCAAATTTCTGTAAAATCTGTTTCTTAAGGTCTTTTGAGGTAATTCTGTGAATTTACATTTTATATTTTTAGGCTACTTCTGAATAATGCATGCATTGTATGGGGAAATATTAGTATTCTAAATATTCACTGCAAACAGTTTGAGCTTATTTACCTAAAAAATCCTAATTGCTATTTATTCCATAGTAATTACCATGATACCTTTTAATTTAATATTTCAGAAACATTGATTGTGACAAATCTTTTGAATCTGGGAATAAGGGCAGCATGTAATTTGAATTATTAAGTCTTCTGACATGAAAATAATTGGTTAAGAATTTATTTCTAAGCTAAGACTGGTATAAATATCCTGAATTAATCACCCCACGAACATCTTGCTTTTATATAATCCGAGTTAAATGTGGCTGACCAAAAATAAGTAGATACCTTTGAAAAATTAAAAGTACCTCATAAGCATATAATGTATGATTTTGATATAACAACCTCTGCCACTCACTATCTGATCTGTGAAAATGCTAGTAACACGTGTAAAAAAATTGATTATCTAATAAGAACGTGCTTATTGAAAATATAATTATTTCTTCCAGTCTAGAGTTAATGTCTCCTACAGCATGTTTATGTACACTGCTATAGGCTTTACAAGGTTGTTATTGATTCTTCTGTATAGCAAACCCTACCCCTTTATAAATGTCAAATAAATACTTACATTTAGAGGATTATATAGAGGAAAGACATTTTACCTCTTCTGCCAGTGTAGGGGAACAACATTTCAACTAAAAAATGTTCTCTCTTGATCATATTCTATTTCATTTTATTTTGCAAAGTGTTCTCATTTTTTCTTGTTGTTAATGTCTTGGTAGCATATTTTTGTAGTGAAGCTTTTTAGGGAGATTTATTAAGTATTTCAAATCATCTTACATTTGAAAGTCTGATTTTCAAAGAGCTCATGATTTAAATTTTGACATTAATTATGTTATATTATTTATATTGACTATGATATATGACAATATTTATGATGGAAAAGTATTTTTTACTGACAGTTACAATTGTCTCTAGGTAAATATGTAGTAATTGAACCCCAGATCATGAACTAACTTGGAAACAACTCACGTTTTAACAGTTATGCACATGTAAGCCATATAGCCAAGTCTGAGTGAATGGGGAATTTTTATAGCAGCATGAACCACAACTTGCAAACAATTCATAGTTTCAGCAATTATGTACTATAATGCATCTAGCCAGCTTTGGGTGAATGGAATTTTTATGAGAGTATTAACTATTTATACAAGTGCTATTTTCTATAAAGTATGAAGTGATTAGTTTTGGACAAGTTAATGAAGAAAATGGAATTATCCTTGAAACGTGTAGTATATGAGCCAGAAAAAAATGTCAGAATGGATTCCGGTTGATATCTCTGATGATAACTGTTAGCCTTTAGCATCTATTTCAACAATTTCATAAAAAGAATGCTCTTTCACGTTGCTGGGACGTAGACATTCCGCACTTCCTTTAAATCTTTAATTCCCGGTGAGCACAGAGCATCCAGTCTAGTCTTTTCTTAGCATATTTTCAAAATAAAATTTTAGATAGAGTAGGTATTCTAGTAGCTATTCTTAATCAAATCAGATGGACTCCTTCCTATCTTCAGGTTCCATACAATCATCAGTCTTCTCACATCATTTTAAACTCCTGAGATTTTAACAGGTTGAAGTTCTGGGAGCCCTTCAGTTACAAAAAGTTCTTGATTTAAGGAAGCAACTCAACATGTCTATCAACAAGTTTCCAAAGTTAAGACACCTGTCTGCATTATATAAAGCTACAGGCCCAGTGCACGAAATTCAAGCACTCGGGGGTGGCGGAGGGAGGTTCCTCAGCCAGGCCTGAGTCTTCTTGCAGTCTGAGACCCCTCAGGGGATGTCCGCCTGCCAGCAGTGAGACATTCCTCTTGCATTCCAGGGCCCTTGCAGTCCAGGAACCCTCACTTTTTACCGCTCACCTGCAGTAGAAGCCAGAGAAGCTCCGCCACTGGGGCTAAGCTCACCAACCATGGTGAGCCCAGCTTCTGGCTGAGTGACGCTCCCCTTGTGGGAGCGCACTGACCACCAGGGGGCAGCTCCTGCGTTGAGCATCTTCCCCCTGGTGGTCAGCAGGTGTCATAGCAACTAGTTGTTCCATCATTTGGTAGATTTGCATATTACGGTTTTATTATTGATATCTAGATTAAACCAGATCTACATATTCAGGAATTCTTCTTCCCAGTGTTCCAAAAATTAGCAGTGAGCACTAAGATAATTCAAAATCTTAATTATTCAACTAAAAGGTTGACATTGTTACTTTGTACCAAATAATATGATCCAACAATATGTTGCCTACAAGACATGCGCGCAAACACACAAATAAGTTATAGTAAAATACATGTTAAAAATAAATACATAGTAAACTAAACATATTAATAGGTTAACTGAAAGGGTTAAAAAAGATATACCATAATATCAATAGTAGAATTTTGCATAGAAATCTATGCATTATTTCCAATAATTCTTTTTTATGAAAAAAAGTTTCCTTACAAGTTTCAACTACACTGTAAAGCACAAATTAGCTTGCAAGTTTCGGCTTAATATAGGAAGAATTTTAAACTTTGGGGATTAATCAGATATTTAAGAAATAGGTTTAACCAAAGCTTTCAGTACCTTGTGACTTATTTTGCATAAACTAAGTCAGCTGCATGTGTGTCCTTATTTATTGAAAAATTAATTACTACACACCTGAAACCTTTATAATTTTATTAACCAATGTCATTCTAGTGAATTCAATTAATAGGTAAAATAAAATTCTTTTATTTACAACTTTTCATTTTTACTATAGATTTCTAGTGGTGTATAAATTTTTCTCTAAGCATTGATTTGGCTGCCTCTCACAAATTTTGACATTTCATTTTCATTCAGCTTATAATACTTCCTACTTCCTCTTTACTTTCTTCTTTAAAGTGTGTTGTTTATTTTCTTCCTTCTGTGCATTAGAAATTTGATTATTTCTTTCACAGTTCTCTCAGACTTCTTGTATTTTGAAACTCTGTTATTAAGTGCATAAAGGTGTAGAATTGATTGTTTGCCTCATTACCACTAATTTATTCCTGGTAATAGATTTCCCCCCAAAATGTACTCTGTGTGAAACACAGGTATTAATACAGCCAGCCCAGCTTTCTTTTGACTATAAATGAAAGAACAGTGAATTATAGTTTGTCAGTAATTATCTGAGACTATTGGACTTGGAGTTTGCATTTTCCTTTGGCACCTATGCTTTTTTCCTTCTTTCTATGAATTTTTTCAGTTCTTATGGTTTATTATAGATCTTTTTCTCTGTCTATATTTATTTTGTAACTCCACCTTGGTTTTATCTCTTCTCAGCCTAGAATCTTACCATTTTGGGGAATATAGTTTTTGAGAGAGTATGGTTTTCAAGTGTTACTAAAGTTTGCCTCTGGGATCATGAAAAGTAGGATTATAGGCAGGTGCAGGAAATATAATTTGGAGAGTATAAAACTTTAGAGGAAAGGATTAGAGTTCATACTTGGAAAAAAAGAGTGTTTGTTTATAAAAGACAAGTAGTAATCAGCAAAAATTATTTGTGTTTTCTATCTCTTACTTTGTTTGCTCTGGTTGGGTTTTCTACTAAAATTCTTATTGACACCATGAATAATAAGTTTTATTTGAACTGTTATTTAGACTCAGTTACAATATCTTTATCAGTAATCTGAAAGGAATAACTAAAGTCCTTAAAATGAAGTGGCATGATAAATTAAGAAATCATATATTTGAAATTTTACATGTTAAAAAAGGTAAAATGTTGAATAACAAACTGTATCATGAAATATAAAATTACTATTTTTTAAGGATTTGTTTTTCATTTCACTCTATTTACAAAAAGACACGCTTACAGCCCAGCTGGCTGCTCGCTGTTTTGGAGCATCATCCTGTATTTCAAAAAGGTTGCAGGTTAGATTCCTGGTCCGGGCGCACACCTGGGCTGCGGGCTCAATCCCAGTCAGGGCGGGTATGGGAGGCAACTGATAGATCTCTCTCTCTCTCTCTCTCTCTCTCTCTCTCTCTCTCTCTCTCTCTCTCTCTCTTTCCCTCCCCCTCCCTCTTTCCCCTCCTTCCCTGCCACTTTCCCTCTAAAATCAATAAACATAAACATATCCTTGAGTGAGGATGAAGGTATGTGCTTGGCCACTGTGACTCAGTGGTTGGGCATTTACCTATGAACCAGGGAGGTGGTCACAGTTGGATTTCCTGGTCAGGGCACATGCCCAGATTGCAGGCTCAAAGCCCAGTAGTGGGCGTACCGGAGGCAGCCAATCAATTATTCTGTCTCATCATTGATGTTTCTATCTCGCGCCCTCTCCCTTCCTCTCTGAAATTACTAAAAGTATATCTAAAAGAGAAAAAAAATATGTGCTTACATAAAATTTTATTAGAAATTATAAAAGATTCTTTTTATTATGCTAAAAAAATAATGTGTCATCAGGCATTTTTACCTTTGTCATGAAAATATTTTTAAAGGCTCATAATGAAAGTGAATGAATTTGTCTTACAATATTAGCCTAATAGAAATTTGGGATACTATAAAAGAAAATGAAAGATAGCAGTGACTATGTATATTTGAGATTTACTTTCATCCCTCACAAGCAAATTTTTTTTTCAGTTGAAGGAATCTTATTAACACAGTAGAGGCCCCATGCACGAAGATTA